TTCCACATATATCAGCTCCAATCAGGAAGAGCTTTAATACCAGAGCCACTTCTTTGAACCATCAAGCAACTAAGCTAATGTCAGGAAAGCTTCTCCTTAGCCAGAAAAAAGGAACGTGGCTGTTTCCAGCCACCTTTTCAGACAAAAAAGCATCACCTGTAGTAACTCTGAAATTCAGTCTAAAGTATATTCTGAGATTGTTATGATCCATAAGAAAACATGCAAATCTATAACTTTTTTAAGTGCCCGTCATATGTTTTGCCTTCTCCTTAAATACTCAAAAGATATATCTGAATATACACTTGTATGGGGGATTTCCTTATTGTAAAAATCAAATTAAGTGATTTGGATTGTACAGGTTCCAAGCACAGCACATCTATGAGCAAGTGCAGAGTCCTGTACGAGCACAGAAAAGGGGAATCATTCTACTCCACAACTAATCTAAAGGATGCTACAAATTCAAAACACTCAAGAACATGGTAAGGGGAACCTAATATTAACTGTACTCTTTGGGTGTAAGCATATGCAGAAGTGGAATATAAACTTAGTCATGTCTCTTCGTTAAATATTTGACAAGTTCTTTGTTTGCAGCTGATCTCACAACAGCAAGTCGACATACGTATTATATTTAATGTAGGGCCAGAATTTCAGATCAGCTGATAAAAATCATGGCAACATGTGCATTCCTAGAGATTAGAATAACTTCACAAGAAGTACCTCAAAGAATATTTTTTTTACCTTTTATAAAGGTTCACCAATACCATGAAATATTACCTACCCAATGTCTGCTCCACCACAAACCAGAGAGCAGATTGCTCCGGGCAACTTGTTATCCTCCAAGACTTTTGCAATTATCCTGGAGTCAAAGATGTAAAAATGTTAGAGATTTCTGACAAGTGCAAATAAGGAATGAACCATTACAACTGTCTGGGGGTTTTGGGGTAGTAGTGGTTTGGGGTAATTGTTCTCAGGCGTTAATATTAGATCTATAAGACTTAGTAATTACCTATTTTAAGGGGCCTACTTTTATTTAGCATTTTAAAACAAGTGCTATTGGTAATGCACAGAAAGTATTTAAAATGTTAATATAAAGTAACAATAAACCTAAAGGAAGTATCACTATGAAATTTATTTTTTGGTGAAGTTCTCCTTTTTATTGGGATGAAGATCAAAGAAACCAGAACTCACTTTGTAACAGCAACACTAACAAGGGATGTTGTAGGAGCACCCTTCCTAGAAAGGGAAAAAAAATTACATTATCTTCTTATTCTTTTAAATTCTTTAAGAATACAAAATAATTCAAATAAGCAAGTTTTAACATCTCTGATCTACAGCACACTTTGGTTAGGCTGGTTTTCAGGAACAAATTAAGACAGGAGTGCAAGTATTTCCTTCTGCAGCTGAGCATTCAGAACTTCTGTTGAGATTTATGTGGACAACAGTTAGGCCAGACTTTAGACAGAAGGAGGTAGATGAAAACAAAATAGGAGACAGAAGAGAAAGTAAAGCTACTTATTGAGATTTTTAATCTTTGCTGTACCAACTCGGAATATATTAACTACCACTGCTGCAAGCTCTCATCCTGGGTTCTTTATTCACAGACCATTTGGCTAAATCTTGGATGGATCTGACCTTAGTACTTCAAAGAGGAGCTTACCACAAAATTAAAAAAGCCCTGACTAAAACTAAAGAGAATTTAAGCCTACATTACATAGATTCAAATATCCAGAAACACCTGACACTCAGTAATTATTTCATGCCTGAGTTAATAATTTACCATTTAAAAATACTGCTAGCAAGGTGGACAGTGAGATCTTACCAGAGGCAAGCATTTCCACAGATCATTGCAATTGCACTGTTCCACCCATAAACTGCCACAGGGAAGTTGAAGGCCGTGATGATTCCCACCAGCCCAACGGGATTCCACTGCTCTATAAGGGCATGGCCAGGTCCTGAAACCAAAGTCACAACATAATGCAGTTTTCATCCATTTAATGTTTGGGGTTTTTCTAAAAAGGGAAAACATGTAAGCAAGAAACCTAGCATCACTCTTCAGTCCACCATAGCATTAGCTTGCAAAGAGCTGTATTATTTGTGTTCCACAGCTTACCTGGATCAAGGTTAGCTAGACTGTACAAAAAGCTAATGATTTGACAACATAATTTTTTATTATTTTAGTTATTCAGTTAACATAATGATGACTTGTGATAATCAATAACTGACAAGGAGGTCTCTCCTTTCTAAGTACACTTCAAAACTTTTTACATACTTTTCTCTACCACCTTTCATCAATAAAGAAATCAAAGAGAATCTAATGCTTCAAAGAAGAGAGAAAATGGATGGACTGACCTGTTTATCTGTCACTTCATTAGATACTTCAATAGTTGTCACTACTGCCCACCACATCTATTCCTAAAGCTCCCTAAGTAACACACCAAACAGAGATCTTGATGATATATTTAAGCTACACCTCCATATCTTCATTCTTCAAAGGAAAAAAAAAACTAAACAAAAAACTCCACACACAAAACCAAAAAAATAATGCATACTTACTTTCTGAAGGCAAAATAGGTCCACCAATCATTCGGGACAAACCAACAGCATAGTCACAGACATCAACATACTCTTGTACTTCCCCAACACCCTCGACAAAAATCTTTCCCATTTCCAAAGAGACCTGAAAAAATTCAGAGTAAGACAAACTTTTTTACAAAATTCCCTTGGACCCCTAATATATTTGGTCTCCCCTTAATGCTGGGTGTATCTACTCAAGTAAGATTTTAACTTGGTGGATTTCATTAGAAGAGATTCACCTCTTCCTCAGTTACATAGAACTTAAAGAAACAACACACTGGACAACTTGACATGGGTCATATCCCAATACAATAGGAAGAAATTAGAAAAGGAAATTAATGGAGAAAAAATTTTTAAAAACTACTGAAAGGAGGGTCCAAAACTAATGAGATTCATATATTTAGATCAACAACATCTTGGATTTACATCATCAGGCTTGCCTACATTGTGGGCCAGGCAAGGAACAAGCTGGAAAAGAGGAATTACTCTGCTCCAGCAAAAGAAAACAGCCACTTACATTTTTCGTAAGCAAACTACTAATTTTACAACATCTCAAAGCAAATTTGAGAGATTTCATTTGCACAGACTGCTGAAAGTGCTTACACATGTTTAATATTTTAGTAACCTGGGATGTTTAGGATCAATGTATTGATTTTTTTTTTCTGAAGTTGATCTTAAACTACATCCTTCTCTTAAAATTTATTTATTTATGTTAGATATACTCAGTTGAAATATATCAGTGAGAATAAGCTGGTATTTGAAGATATCGTCATCCAAAAATGAGAAAATTTGAAAATTTAGGAACTGAGAAATCACCTACTTATCTCCACTCAGTTTTGTGGTCTTGCTCTGAATAGCATGGACTCTCCATGCAGGTATCACCTCCCACTTTACACTGATGACTGTACTTTAAAAAGGCTGTTATATGAGGAATCAGGTTCAAAGGATTTCCACTGGATTCTTCTCTCTATGTCAAAGTTAACATAAAGATGACTAACTGTATTTCTGTATGCCTATGGTCATCTCAAGACAGAAGGAACAGTCTAGATCTGACCAAAACCAGAGCAGCATCAGACATAGTTACTGAGAAACACAGCATGGGTAAGTGCAGTAGAAACATCGGGATACTTCACCACAGCATGGCAAGGTGAGGCTTGTTGGGAAGGGTAGATAAATATGATTGAGAACCACAATAGTACAGCCAAGACGAATATAACGCCCCCTACTGGCTGGACAATAACCCTCACTTACAGAGGGGTCCAAAAGCCAAATGGACTGTTCCATCTCACCCCCCAGAATGTATGGTTCACCCCCACCTGTAACCCTCCCCTGAAGCATCAAGTGTCTGTGACCCCATTGGCCCCAGTCTTGTTCCAGCCCACCTTGGAGCCCCCCTTGATAAGGGGTCTCAGAGGGGCCAGACGCCCTCTTGGATCTTCCCCTCTCCTCCTGGAACTTCCTCCGGGAGTCCCTGCTCCCCTCTTTGTCTCTCCCCTCCCCCATCACCTCAGGCCCAGCCACGTGCTGCTACACAGCTCCAGGCAGGGCCTTTCTGCATCCTGAATAAACCTCATCCCCCAAGAGCAACCAACAGAGATCTCGCTTATATCCATCCGTGGAACCCCCCATCAAACGTCTTTACAGAGGCTGGAAATTTCCTACAGCGTATGAGAAAGATGAGTTTCTATGCAGTTCCTTTTTACATATTCTAAAGCCAGGCAAAGTCCTAAAACCTGAATACCTACTGCACTTCTTTCACCCTAAAATTCATCCCCAATCATAGCAGAGCTGAACACATATATTATTTGTTTGGGAAAACTAAGAAAATATGGCAAGAAGCTGTAAGTTTTGGTCAAGGAATAGAGAACAAACTTCTGTCTGTCTACACTCATCAGGGAAGCTCTACTATTTTTGAATACAGGAGTACATTAGCACTGTAATTCCACAACAGAAACTGTGCTGAGGAGACAGTGTCAAGGAAAACGGCAGAACAAAGTTTTGGAGGTTAACAATATAGGCTTGACTACACATGGAGTTATTCACTGACAGCTGTTTCTGAACAACAGCACAGACAGGCAAGCCCTGCAAAAAGAAAGTGGAAGTTTCCCACTTGACTCCCTTTCTTCCCTAGCAAGAAAAGGAGTAAAGTAAGAGTTTTAGAGGAGTGGTCCTTCAGCCTTTATCTCCTGCACAGCACTGCAAGATCACCTCAATAAGACCATCTCAACTTCTAAAGCATGTCACTTGACAAAATCCTGCAGATCACCAGAAAGAGCTCATGGTAAAAAGCTCTGTATTAGAGGAAGGTCTTTTTCCAAGACACTTTTAGTATTAGAAAGTGCCCTATCTAACAGGCAAGAGGGCAGGCAGGGCAACAGTTGTACCACTCATCCCAGAGAGGCCCATAATAAACTTTCTTTTCCTATTATAAATTGTCAATTCACAGAATCACAGAATATCCTGAGCTAAAAAGGACCCACAGGGATCAAGTCCAGCTCCTAACACAGCACTATCTCCAGGAATCACACCATGTGCCTGAGAGCATTGCCCAAATGCCTCTTGAACTCTGTCTGGCTTGGTGCTGTGACCACTTCTCTGGGGAGCCTGTTCAGTGACCAACCACCCTCTGGGTGAAGAACCTTTTCTTAACAAGTAACCAAGCTCTCAGCTGACACAGCTTCATGTCATTTCTATAACACAGCAATTTTGAAATTCTTTTCTTATTTTTAAAATTAAAACTTAATTAGGAAAACTAACAGAACTAACAGCAATTACTTAACAATTACTAGGGTTAGTATTGCAGAAAAAAATTAGTATTATTCAAAAAAACCCAAGTGTGACACACCCCTTACCTTCATTTCCCACCCTCCCCCCCCAAAAAATGTAGGCTACTTCTGAAAATACCTTACCAAGCTTCCTAGAACATTGATTTTTTGTCTCAGGGCATCACCAATCTGTCGCACTATTTCTCCACGTTTAGGTGCAGGGATCTAGTCAAAACAAACAAGAAGAATCTATGCGAGATCGAAAATCTGTAACTCCTGCTGTATATATACTGCTAGTTTTCAGTCCTTGTAGTAAGCAGTCACTGATTGCTGTGCTTTTTTATCTTCCCAAGACACTGCTACTTGTTCATTTTTATCATGTGCACTGCTTTACAAGAAACTGTTTCCTGCCTCAGAGACTGATAATAGTATAAACTTTTTCTGTTCAAAACTTCAGCTTCACTGAATATTGCCAAAAGCATTTAGTTTGTTAGTCCTCTTACTTCTGTTCAACTACATCACCCACAATGCAACCAATTAGCTGCACCTCAAGAAACAAGCATTTTTTATAAAAGTGTACTTACTGGTTTCTGAGCCTTGAAGTGTACTTAATACCACACTTTCAAATTTTCTTTCAATATGACACTTACTTTGTTAGCAGAAATTAAGACACATAGAAACCTCACTCATGAAAATATTAAGCTCATACACCAACTCTTAATATAATTTTTAAAATGTAGTCTCAGTATGGTAAATAATAATCAATAGCCATGTTTAATTTGCCAACCATATGCAAAAGGATTTACAGGTTTAAAACAACAGTTCTCTGTAAAAACAAGACTGAGGAGAAATGCACAAACCATGCAAGCATAGCCCTCTACAGCCAATATCTTTCAAGTAAGCACATTACAAACAACAAAATTCACAAATTAATACCTTTTGAGAAAAAGCCTTCAAGAAACATTTAATGTTTTGGTTTTTTTTCAACATATTGGATGTTTCTTGAAGGCTTTTTCTCAAAGTTAATGTTATTTGTTATTTGCTATTGTTGGATTGCTTTCAGATTATTTCCAAACATGTTATGAGTTACCAACATTAGACGCACAAATTGTAACAAAAGAACACATACTAACATATCCCGAGGAAGCTGTTTTGTTCATCCTAAAGTTTGTTGCTAGACAACAATTAAACTTTGTTGTCTTCAGACAAGATAAACTACTGTGCTGGCTAAGACATAGACAGTACATCAGCTTTTGAAATTCAGGTTTCAGGTTCTACTAAAGAAACAACAGGTAACTATAAGAACCAAGCCTGGCACAGCCATCAGCAGGATGGGTGCTGGCTGGACACAGCTGGTAGAGCTGCATGGGGAACTACAGCTTGCGAAGGAAGAATAGCTTAGCTGTTACATACAACGTAACACTAATGCTTTTGAACCACACAGTTGTTCTGTGAAATACTGAACAACTGTATTGTTCAAGACAGCAGGTGAACCAAAACCCCCCATGTTTATAACCAGCAGTCTTCCTCACACCAGGAGAACAAGAAGATCAACACAAGTTACACCTCCAAATATTCCACAGAGCTCTCCCAGAAGAGGGGGCGACAGGAAGTGAAATATGTATAGGGATAGTTTACTTACTACAAAGTTTCTGAACTTCACCAGACCTGCTGGCAACAGCTCACAGGCACAAGCCTTGGTAAATCTGCCAGGGTTTTCAAAACAAACATATCCCACAAGTCAATGTCCTCATCTTTGTACCCCAATGGTATCATACACAAACTATCTGGGCTTGTTTCTTGAGGTCTCCATTCCAGATTTTTGCTTTAATGTACCACACACAGTACAAACACATTTTTACACCTTCACCTTATGAGGCAATTTTATCGCCTGTCTCTGCCACAGATCTGTAATAAATGAGAAGTCTCCATTAACTTACATCAGCCCAGACCTTCCATGCATCTTTAGCCTTCTTTACTGTTTCTTCATAATCCTCCAAATTACCCTATATGAAAAAGCACATAAAGGTTAAGAAAATCAAATGCTCAAAAGAAATGGCACAAAAAAGCTTCCGCATCTAACTCAAGATCAACATTTTTATAGAGTGTACTTGCACTACAGGATACCACTTTTATAGAATGCTTGTAAATTGACACAATTTGGTTTCAATATGACAAGTTATCTGAAGACACTGTCAATGAAAAGCATATGTACTGCCTAAATTAAAAACAAAAAAAAACCCAAAACAACAAAAAAACAACAACCAAAAAAGCCATGAGCAGAAATTTTCGTTCAGGTATTAGAAGAAGCTCCATATAGAATAACAGTTTTATATATGTTTGTTATATACATACATACACACACATATATAAATATGTCCTACTCCATCAGCCTCACTGGGCATCAAGGGCCAGTTGAGTCTTAATACACAAAAGGAGTAAGTTAATACAATAGTGCTATTTTTACAGTAAAAACATTGACAAATGTACTACTTTAACGTCAAATTGATCTCCTTCCTACCTCCTCCCAGGCCACTCATCCTTACCAAATAGACAAAATCTGTCGCTATTCTGCAACTTCCCTAAGAACAAACGAAAAGGCAAGGAAGGGAGCCTTGCTCTTCCCAACAACGTTTGCAAAAGCGCAGAAGTGAGAGGCGGAGGACTGGAGAGACAAAAAAACCCAAAAAACAAAAAACAAACAACCAAAAAAACCCCAAACCCCCCCAAAAAAAAAAACAAAACAAAAAAACAAAAAAAAAAAACACCAAAAAAAAAACCCAAAAACCAAAAAGCAAACAGACTGCTTTTCTTCCCAGGAAAGCCGCAGGCATATTGCCAGCAGTAGGCTGCGACGAGCTCCAGCGGCCGCCCTGGACTCAGCAGCCCCTGGACGCCGCTGCGGTACGGGGCGTTCCGTGCAGGGGCAGCGCCCGAACCCACGCCCCGGGGCCCCGGAGCTCCTCCCGCCCCGTTCCCGGCGCTGCCCCGGCCGCGCTCACCTGCCGGACGGTGGCGATGGGCTCGTTGTTGGCGGGGCAGTACGTGGTCACCACCTAGAGTAGGACGGCAGCGGTGAGCGGCGGGGCCCCTTCCCCGGGGGACAGGGCACGAATCCGTAAGGGCCCAGCCGCCCCCCACCCCCGAGGCCCCGCCGCCCCGCACCTGCCCCCCACCTGCCCGCGGCCGCCCCAGCGCCCGTTGTACACGCCCGGGTTCTCCTCCCGCAGCCCCAGCTCCCGCAGCCACGCGTAGCGCTCCTGGCTGATCAGCAGCGTGGACATGGCGGCGGCCGGCGGCGACCCTGCCCGCGGCAGCAGCGCGGCCAAGGCGCGGCGGATCCTCAGCATGGCCGGGGGCCGCCAGCGCGGGGGGACGGGGCAATGGCGGTCGCGCCCCGCCCGCCCGCCGCCATTGGCGGCACCGCGCCCGCGCCCCCCGCTCCGCCCCGCCTGGCCGCGGCCCCGCTGGCCGGGCCGGGCCCCGCTGGCCGGCCCCCCCTGGCCGAGCGCCCCTGACCGAGCCCCCCTGACCGGGCATGTCCGAGCCCCCCCTGACCGAGCCCCCCTGACCGAGCCTGTCCGAGTCCCCTGACCTAACCCCCCTGACCGAGCCCCCCTGACCGAGTCCCCTTGACCGGGCCTCCCCCGCCCCGCATTGGCAGCGCAGCCCAGCCTGTGTGCTGTCGAAATCTACCCACACTCTGCTTCTTTTCGAGAAGGGAAGACTGAGATCGGACCTTATCAATGTCTATGGGTGTCTGAATGGAGGGTGGCAAGAGGACAGAGCCAGGCTCTGGTCAGTGGTGCCAAGCAACAGGATGAGAGGCAACAGGCAGAAACTGTTGAACATGAGGAAGAATTTCCTGTGCAGGTGACTAAACACTGGAACAGATTGCCCAGAGAGGGTTGGAGTCTCTCTCACTAGAGATATTCAATAACCATCTGGACACAAATCTGTGCCATGTGCCCTGGGATGACCCCACTCGAAAAGTCAGGTTGGACCAGATGTGCTCCCTTCCAATGCAATCGATCCATTCTATTGTTATAAATGAAAATTTGTCCAGCCAAATTAATATGAAAAATAAATTATTTATTTTGCAATCAAATTCTATCTAGCCAGCCACAAGGAAAGAACAGAGCCGAGCCCGGGGTCGGCCCTGGGTGTGCAACAAGGAGTCAGCCTCAGCAGAGGTTTTCCTCCATGCCCACACCCCTCCATCTTGGCACAAGCGGTTTTTATAGGGAAAATTCCGCCTGAGGCCAAGATTTCAGCAATCAGTTTTTTCTTCTATTCAGAGTCCATATGTTAATAAGATTTTCCTTTTTAGTGATGAGGGAGAACAAATGACTGTCCGGAGTTTGTTGAATCCTTTGATGAAATTTACGGGAACCCTGTATTCACATGTATCTGCCTCAGGATTTCCATGATATCCATCTCGGGTCGTTCACGCTAACGATCAGCACCTGGGGTTTCTGTATCTCCCCAGACATGGCCCATCTCCTGGCGAGCTGTACCTTCTTACTTGTAAATCAGTTTCCAATCTACACCCGGTCTCACCTGCGCCTGTGTGTGTGGGGGGGCGGGGGGGGGGGGAATCCTAATACAAATATGTATACTCTAACAAATATTCAATATCACATATATCATATTAGAAATGGCGCAAATTATATCTACTACACATAACACTATGATTCTGTGTGATTCCATATACCCTTCAAGAGCTGCAGGGGCAGAGGAGTCCCCAGATCAGGTTTTTCTAATTCCTGCAGAAAATAAGAACAGGAGGCATCAAAACAAGAGGAAAAACCTGTAGCTATCCTTATGCAACAAATAGTAATATGTGGGAGTATTCACAATTCTTTTCCTTCTCCAATACCATTCTTGAAAATCTCAGTGTCTTTGGCTTCTGAGCCATCCACTTTATCTACATGCCAGTGTCTGTGAAGTTACAACATTTTTCTTTCTCATATGCAGGACTAACACATTTGATATACACTCACCTTGCAAAACTGGAAGTGATTTCTATCCCATATTTTTACTGTAATTACACTTCAATGGCTTTGGAAATCTAGATGACTTACTGTGATCATGAAATATTGTTTGTTTTCAGGAATGCAATATATTCTGAATGGCTAAACCAATGAGGAATAAACCTTGATACTAAGATCTAAATGTCTCAGAACAAACTTATAGGATAGAGAAGAAATGCCACTCTCAAGAATGCCATTGTTTATTTTTTAGTTTTCCACAGCTACACACTTTTCCTTAATGTGAATTGCATTAACTATAAATAATTATTTGCTCTTTAAGAAATGGTTGTTCAAGTAATTTTTTTTTTTTTCAAATGAAAAAATTTTTTGGATGATGTAAACAGAATAGCAGTAGAAAATAGTATTGGCAAAGTTCAAGAGCTGGCTTTGCCTTTGGCTGTGCTGCATGCAAGATCAAACTGTCTCTTTTACTTGGAAAATGTATTTGGATACTATAAAACTTGTATCAAAAAAGGTAGCAATGTTTTCTTTCTGCAGATCTTCAGGTTTTTTGACCTTATATATCTTTACATGATCAAACAGGTGTTTTACAACCACATAGCTGCAACGCATGCATTGTGTTCTAGCAAAAAAGTGGGACTCTCAGGGCAGTAGCTGATGCATGGGAACTGAGTTTCAGTTCCACAGTCTTTTCTCATCACCATAAGCAGGCAGTTCTCTAGCAACAAGTGCACACAGCTATTGGTGCAGTACCTACTGGTTGAGCCACAGGAAAAATCTGAAACCCTGGCATTGTTGGCTCTGTTCATATTCTTTGCTCTAGAGCATCCAAGCAGATGAGAGTATCACTGTCAGAGATGGTGCCAAAGTCCTTTCTGAAGGGACCTGGGGCAAGCTTGTCAGCAAGCAGACAGTGGTCATGATGCAGGGCTAACCATGTGAGTCTCATGGGTATTAACCATCCACTGCATGAAGATGTGCTTAGACCTACATTCAACATTAGTGCAGGGCCCAAGCTCTTTTTCTTCCTGCTGTGTCCAGTCCAGGTCTACATCTAAATCTATTTATGTCTTCAGAAGTTGCAAGTCCAACAGGGGTGTGAATTCAGGCCAGCGTCTGAAATAAAGAACAGACACAATGTGTTCTGTCCTACAATTGCAGAGCAAGGCTAATCACAGGGGAATTTGGAGGATATAAAAACATTGTGCAATAGCCGGATACATGGAGGTAGGAGTGGGAGGAGAAGCCCCGTATCACACTACTGTATGTAGGTTTTTGCTATTTGTTCTCTTTGATGCTATGGGCATCCTGAACGTGCTACTTTTTATCTTTATTAGTCAGAGTTTTAGAGAGAAATTATCTATCTATGGTAAACTTATTTTGCTTTGTGATCATACCAACATGACAATTTGCATTCTCCACGACACATAAGATGTGTTGTATCCACCACTGAGAGTGCATCTTGAAATTTGTGATATTTAAATGGTCATGAAACATTATTCTGCTGTAAGGTTATAATTAAGGTTGCTAAAATGTTCACTTCAAAGAAAGCATTCAAAAAGATATGAAAAGATTAATTTCAGTGATGCTTGTGAAAATTGGTAAAAGTACGTCCTCATCTTGTCCATCAAAGTTTCCTTCTTTCCAGATCTGATCAGCTGAGCATTGTCACAAAAGTTCTTGGCTCTAGCTTAGGGTAAAAAACATTGTAGTCAAAGGGGCTTGGAAAAGGAGGCAATTCAACAATATCCCTGTCATGAGACAGACTTTGAATCCTATGAAACTGTTCTTGGGTTCTGGATTCACTACAGGGCTCTTCAGATGTAGTTCTTCTTTGCACTTTGCTTATTTTCTCATCTGTAGGAATAGGTACAAGTTCCTTGCATCTTTAAAGCAATATCCAAGGAGCAATACCTGGACATAATGAGGGTGGAGGCCAAATGTCCATGTTCAGGAGGTCCCAGAGGTTTTACACTTCTGTGAATATAGAAGAGCTTCAACACAGTACAAGCAAATCAAAGAAGAGGAGTGGGGAGGAAAGCTTCCAAAAACATGCTTAAAATTTTGCTTCATTTCACATATTTTTGCAGCATGACAGAACCTTGCCTTAGAGCAGCAGGCTCCTCTGTCCTTTTCACATGACTGTGATTTCAGTTAGTTTTCAGAAGGAACTGTTGTCTTTTTCTCAGTGGTAGTACACAAGGAATTCAAAGAACTATAGTGATTTGTGCTCTCAAAACAGTCAAATCTATAAGGGGGAAAGCAAACAACAAAATGTCTCTCTTGACCTGAGGTATTTCAATCAGTGCTTTTCACTTCTGTAGTTTGTCAGTTACCCATATTTTAAAGTGTCCAATTTACACTGCACTGAGAGTGATAACTGCCAGGAATCACTTTAATCCTAAGAAATAGGCATATATATTGTATATCCCATAAAGACAAAATGGTTTGAGGTTTTAGGACAAAACAACAACAAACCCAACAAAGTATCTTGTCCTAAGCACAATGCAACTAGGAATTTAGCATGCTCAAAAACAGATTTTGCATGTTTAGCTCCAAGTTACAGTGCAACGGGCAACATTCTACTATCAGTAACAATCAGCAATGACTTAATACAAGTGATAAGAAGATCACTTCAGTGGGATCTGAGGCTGAAAAGGAAGTTGGTTCAGCAACAACCTCTGCACTCTGTATTGTCCTCTTTCCATGTTGTCCATGCACTGGTAACCAGACAGTTGCAGTTATTCCATGTGAAATGAAAGCATCCTTGGGTGCAGCTTGGTGACCTATACTAAAACAAGTTCCTCTACCTTTTATATAGCCTTTTCCACCTGCAGAAAGCAGTTTAGAGAGTCAGTGACCGTCATTAGAACCATTTAATCTCTAAGAAAATGGAAATCCAGATAAATTGCTTCACACACTAAAGAGAGAAATCCCTTTGGATTTAAGTTTCAACCTGGTATTTAGCCCTCAGGCCTTGCTACTGTATCATTATCAGTGTCCCATTGTTTTACCACTCTAGAGTTCTCATATAGACTGCAACTGTAGTAAAGGCGCTTCTTTACAAATAACTCTTAGTAACTCTTCTTTCCAAAGGCTCTTAGTAGTGTAAAAATGACTAGCAAACCCACCTTGCACATGCTTGGCTTCTCATGAGAGGTGTGTATATCTTTACACTGATGGGTAGAATAAATGATGACCAATCATGTATTTTACTCAGGTTGGCAGCCTGTCCACAGTTGGGCTCTGCCAGGGATTGATACTGGGCTCCAATACTGTTCAACACCTTTATAAACTATCTGATGATAGGATTGAAAGCATCTTCTTTAACTTCACTGCTGATGCTGATGCTGATTGGGTGATGATGTGAATCCATCGAAGGGAAAGCCATATTAGAGAGAAATT